GATCATATTCCACGCCATATTCCTACCACATAAAGATGTCATATTTGCCCACCACATCGACCAATATACAAACGGAACGAAAACAAATCCGACCCGAAAAAAGAAACGCCGACGTCCATCAATCTAGCAGGAGACTGATAGCCAACTGCCAGTTGGATATGCCGGGGTGTCACGATCGCCTCAAAACTTGGTATGCATGACCTTGTCGACACGCTAATTCCAAAAACCACTGTCTTTGGGGTGGGATTTTGCGTGACTTCCGAGTTCCAGGGCGCGAAACATCACCAGATCGACGTTGCGGGGCGTTTCGATTGCCTTCAAATTTGGTGTACAGGGCCTTCTCAACACGCTGATTCCAAAAATCCCTGTCTGGGGTGGGATTTGGGGGTAACTTCCGAGTAACAAGGCGCGTAGCATCACCAGATCGACGTTGCAGGGCGTTTGGATTGCCTTCAAATTTGGTGTACAGGGCCTTCTTAACACGCTAATTCCGAAAATTCCTGTCTTTGGGGGTGGGTTTTGGGATTGGGGGTGGGATTTTGCGTAACTTCCGAGTTATACGACGCGTAACACACCAGTTGAATATTGCGGGGCGCCTCGATTGCCTCCAAATTTAGTGTGCAGGGCCTTCTCAACACGCTGATTCTGAAAATAAGTGTCTTTGGCGTGGGATTTCGTGAAACTTCCGAGTTACACGACGCGTAACACCCCAATGTAATATTGCGGTGGTCTCGATTGCCTTCAAATTTGGTGTGCAGGGCCTTCTCAACATGCTGATTCCGAGAATCCCTGTCTTTGGCATGGGATTTTGCGAACTTCCAAGCTGTACGATGCGTAACACCCCAGTTGAATCTGCAGGGCGTCTCGATTTGCTCAAAATTTGGTGTGCAGGGCCTTCTCAACACGCTAATTCCGAAAATTAGCGTATATGAGGTGGGATTTTGCGTAACTTTCGAGTTATACGACGCGATACTGGAGTGTTACGCGCCGTATAACTCGGAAGTTACGCAGCATCTCACCTCAAAGACCATGAATTTCGGAATCGGCGTGTCGAGAAGGTCATCCACACCAACTTCTGAGGCGATCGTGACGCCCCGATATATCCAACTGGCAGCTGGATATCAATCTGCTGCTAGATTGACAGACGTTGCTAGATCGACGGACGTGAAACGCCGGTTGATCCGCTGGGATGGCCTTGGCGCGTCAGTATCGTGCCAGCAGATCGTAGGCCGGGGTTCGCCGTCGTCCGTTGTTGCTGTCGTGATTATTATGTTTTGAAGGTATGATGATGAGATTTCCACTTGATATTGTTGTTGCATGATTATTTATGATGTTTTATGTCTTACGGACGTCAGTTGGTAGACACTTACAATTCAGCGTCTCGTACCAATGTGAACAATGACCGAGTGGCAAGTTTACACTACTGATGCCAGGTTTTGGTTTATATGATAAAAGTGACTATATATATATATGTATATATATATGTATATATATATATATATATGTATTTAGACATCCATGTTCCATCTTTTTAAGGTAATGGAGGAAGGTAGTACCACCGATTTGGCATGTCATTGGCCAGCAGGAAACTCAGAGTAAATAGTACTAACCAAATTGCAATTTATGAATATGTCGTAGGTAAAATATACTTCTTTCCTCATTCAAAGTTGCTGCCTCCTTCTACTTAAAATGTCCTAAGAATTTTGTAGCTGTCTGGTGGGATCAAGTAATGCCCATTCCTGTCTTGGAATCAACAGATATGAGCAGCATTGACTGACAAAAAGTGGCACCAAATGCAAAGAGCTTATTTTATTAGGCAAATGGTGAAAAGTGACAACTTTAAAGCAGATTGGACTATTTCACATTTGTATATTGTTTTAAACTGAGCTAATCACTTCAGACCACTCCCTGCAGTTCAAATTTATGCCCTTTTAGAATATTGCAGCTCACATCAAAGGTAGATGCATGCACACTTTTGCTGATTGGCTCTGTTTATCCTAAGGACACATAGTTATTAATGATAACATAAAGATATCAGATGAATCTCAAATTAAAACATATAACCATTGACCTCATGTCATTAATTCTGATATTGACTTCATGTCAGGACACTTTTTCCTTAAGAGTACATCAGCATGAATCAGCACATCAATAGGCAGCAATTGGTCAGTCAGCTTAAAGGGAATGTTTTACATTTGAAGATATTGAAGCAATCATCAGACATGACAAAATGAGCTGACTTTTGGTGTACTATTCATGTGCTTTTTAAGTGGAAAGCCTGTGCTGAACAGCACAATTTTCTATTCAGTAAATATCCTCTCAAATGTCTCGTGGTTTGATTCCGTAATCACAAATGCCCAGATATACCTTCCATGTTTTGTCATGTCTGATGCTAACTGAATTATTGATGATAATCACAAATGCCCAGATATACCTGCCTACATTATTATTGTATTTATTGGCCTTGACTGCCACATGGCTTATGGAATGGCAGGATTTGAATGATGCTATTAGGATGTCGCGAATGCTAAGGTGACTCTGAAATACTCTCCCCAATATACCTTTCCCCATTTTTCCCATTTGGGTGCATAGCTTAGGAATTAGAAGGGCTTAGGTCTTAAGAAGGACAGGATTGTGAACAGCATTGAAAGGTCTTCAAGATGGCTATTTCAGTTCAAAACCCCACATAAGTGTGGAACACTTCTTAGTCCTGTAAAATGCAGGTCATGATCACTTGACATATTTTTTGATACATAATACTGACATTTTGGCCATGCTGCTAGCTTGACAGAGACAAGATGGTAGATCAAAAACATAAGAACAGCATAGAAACCTATGATATGAATGGAAGTAAAAATATGAAATCACTTGAATATGCAAGAACATCATGGGATTGCCCAAAATAAGCACACATGATGGTTGTCTGGTTTATCAAGTACTTGAATAAACAAGCCACCTTACCACAAGTTCTAGTGTTAAAGTTAGTCAGACTCAGACTCAGCAGGAAGTCTAACACAGGCACTCTGGGAATGACTGTTAAGTCATAAAACAGTTCCAGGATGTAGTCAAACACTGGGTTATTGGGCAGCCCTCCATTAGGCAGTGAAATTGTATTATGTGGAGCCTTTGCACCTAATACAATACTGATTGATACAAGTGAGTCTTTTCCATCATATTTGACATTTGCCAAAATGTCCTACCATGTGCAACATTTCCTTTTAAACATTGGGATTGTCTGTCAAGAGTGTCAGTACCTGAGTACTGCTCTGTTAATCATATTTCTTGGTGTGATATAATTGGTATCAACACTTTGGATAATCATCATTATCAGCCTTGGGCCTTGCTGTTATTGAACCAGCTTTTTGGAATAAGAACAAAGGAAATCTGCATGTTTCACAGATGAATTGGATAGATATTCAGGTTAGCATTTCAGCATGCCTGAATATCATTGGCATTTCATAATTTCAGCAAACAATTATGTCAGGTTCAAGCTCAGTTGAAGTGAACTACAAATGCATTATCAATGTGCATTAAACATTTGCACTAAGACATTCTGAAGGAGCATCCTAGGAAGGCTATTGTGCTGTGTTATTTTGTTGGTATGTCTGATTAATGTTATCTAAATAAGTAAGGTCTTTTACACAAATGGATGTAATGTGACAGGTGTGTGTGGTTATGCTTTGCGCATGTGAGATATGTACCTATGAATTATTATGTGACCATTTTGGCTGTTCAGCTAGTGTTTCATCTTCTGCAGAGGTATGGAAAGGATAAGCTGACCCACCTTGTCTCATGGCTAAACCATCTATTGGAATAATAACTAGCAGCATTTGCCTCATCACCAGTGTTTTGCAATGTTTTTTTTGTCATTTTTACCGTGGCTCTGGGAAGTGTAAAATCTGAGCTTTACTCTCTAAGTGTGTGTTTATTACCTAACTACATTTTAGCAAAGGCACCAAAAGATGTGTCACATACTGAGCCCAACCAGTGGCTATGTGATTACTAAGGGAACAGTGTTGTGGGTAATGTTAGAGAGCTGTTGCAGTAATTAAGTATGTTACTTCAAAACTTCCCATAGCATGTTTTCAATCATGGCAAGAATAATGTAAGGAATCATAATTAGTAATATAATTGTAATTAGGATGTCATTTAAGCAAAATTGTATCATGAATAACAGTTTTGTGTGTGTTTGACTAGCCTAGAACACTGTCCACCTCTCTTTCACAGTGACATCAGTTCTTGTCAGTGAACTTGGTGAAAAACAAGTTCAGAAAAAAGAACAGAAAAAGTGAACAGCAGGACTCTGGGATAACACATTTTAGTCCACCTGGCACAAACGCCAATCTTCTGCCCGGAGTAATTACCGGCTTGCACCTTCATCAGCTTGCAGTTGTCAGACAGTGTCTGCCAGTAGCACCTGAGCCCTGGCCATGGAGTGGTCCCAGTCCGACACCTCTCCAATGACGCCGCGCGGCGGCCGCGGCCGCAACCGCAACCGCGCGCATCCGCTTCTCGCCGCTGGTCGGCTTCACACCTTCGCCGGGCCGGGTGCCCGACTTCACGCCCTCGCCGGCGGCGCGTGGCGCCCGTTGGTCCAGCACGCCGCGCGGCAGGGGTGGCTTCGGCTCCGGCGGCAGGGGCGGCTTCGGCTCCGGCGGCAGGGGTGGCTTCAGCTCCGGCGGCAGGGGTGGCTTCAACCGTGGCGGTGGGGGCGGCTTCAGTCCCGGCGGCAGGGGTGGGTTCGGCACCCCCGCGCGGGCGCGGCGGTCATGGCGGCCAGGGCGGCCTGTGCTTGGACGAGACGTTCGTGCGCTTCGCCACCGAGAACCCGTGGGCCGAGCTGGAGCGGAGCAAGGGTCTGGACTCGGCGCTGGGGCCGCTGAACACGGCCGGCGGCGCGCGCGGTCCCTCTGCCGCTGCAGTGCCGGCGTCCCCGCAGCACTCGCTGCCCGTGCCAGACGACGACGACAGCTTGTGTGACGGCAGCCGTGGTGAAACGAGCCGAAACGTCGAGCGAACAGAAACACCGTTGGATCGCGTCAAGGCGACGTTTATTTTTTTGCGAACTAGTCCTCTCGCTTGTGTTCATGCATCGGATGTCACGCATACTGGGCTGCGGCCATTGGCGCCAACACACCGCATTGTTGGGTATGTTCTGCGCTATGTTTCTTGTCATGCTGCTCTGAGCGTGTGGATCACATTTTTGTGGGGTTACTGTGGCCCATCAGTATCGTTCTCATTTTAAAATATGTCGGCGAAGAATCCCATTGGTTTACATTTCTGGTGCCATCTAATGGTGTTTCATAGCAAGCACATTCGGCAATACACGCTTTGTTTGTTGCCTCGAACGACTTGTGATCTTTAGATGCTCCACCTGATGTGTTCTCACAGCATGTACGATCGTGTATTGTTAAATACAACAACAAAAAAGGTGTGTGGCATCTGCAACTTGGAAGTGAACGATGAAGGGCTCTCCGAAACGTCGTCAGATTGACGCTGTTAATTGGTAGCATTGCCTTCTAGGATTTCATCGATGCTTTTTGTTACAGACTATGCCAATGAAGTGCAAAACGGACTGCGGGAAAAATGCGATCCTTAAGGTAATAAGTGGCAATGATCCGCTTAATTTAATAGTTTCGATTAGCAACGTTTAGTGGCTTGATGTACTTCACATTTGGGGGCACTGCTATTTGCTTTGCATTAAGATTGTATTGGGGATTACGTTTGTGCCATATTACTCCTGTTTTGGTGATTTCTTTAAAGCGTGTGATTTCTTCAGCCTTCATGCATATTTCGCACGAGGTCGCCACATGTTATATTTCAGAAAGGAAGACAAAGAACTCGCGTCTCCCTCCCTCATCTACCTAGAGGATTCGCCATCACTACAGGATCATCACCGTGCTAGGGCAATTTGCTAGGTACACTAGCAATTGGCGTCGGAAGTTTTCTTGCTAGGTAGACGAGCGACTGACTTCGAAAGCTTTCTTGCTAGGCACACGAGCGACTGATGTTGAAAATTTTCTTGCTAGACACACGAGCGATTGACGTCGGAAGTTTCCTTGCTAGGCACACGAGCGATGATGTCGGAGGTTTTCTTGCTAGGTACACGAGCGACTGACGTTGAAAATTTTCTTGCTAGGTACAAGAGCGGTTGACGAAAGTTTTCTTGCTAAGTACACGAGCGACTGACTTCGAAAGTTTTCCTGCTAGGTACACGAGCGACTGACTTCGAAAGCCTTCTTGCTGGGCCAACGAGCGACTGATGTAGGAAGTTTTCTTGCTCGACACACGAGCGACTGATGTGGGAAGCTTTCTTACAAGGTGCACGAGCGATTGACGTCGAAAGTTTTCTTGTCAGGTACACGAGCGATTGACGTCGGAAGTTTTCTTGCTAGGCCACACGGGCGACTGATGTGGGAGGCTTTCTTGCAAGGTGCACGAGCGATTGACGTCGGAAGTTTTCTTGTTAGGTACACGAACGATTGACGCCAGAAGTGTCCTTATTAGGTACACGAGCGACTGACGCTGAATTTTGTTTTGCTACGTACACGAGCGATTGACATGAAAAATTGTGTTGCTAGGTACACAAGCGATTCATGCCGGAGGTTTTCGTGCTAGGTACACGAGCGACTGACGTTGACAATTTTCTTGCTAGATACACGAGCGGTTGACGGAAGTTTTCTTGCTAGGTACACGAGCGACCGAGATGGAAAGTTTTCTTGCTAGGTACACGAGCGACCGATATGGAAAGTTTTCTTGCTAGGTACATGAGCGATTGACGTGGGAAGTTGTCTTGCTAGTCACACGAGCGACTGATGTGGGAAGTTTTCTTGCTAGATACACGAGCGATTGACATCGGAAGTTTTCTGGCTAGGTACACCAGCGACTGATGTGGGGAAGTTTTCCTGCTAGGTACACGAGCGACCGACGATGGCAATTTTTTTGGTAAGTACACGAGCGGTTGACGGAATTTTTTTGCTAGGTACACGAGCGGTCGATGTGGGAAGTTTCTTACTAGACACACGAACGACTGATATGGGAAGTTTTCTTGCTAGATACACGAACGATTGACATCGGAAGTTTTCGTGCTACATACACGAGCGACTGATGTGGGAAGTTTTCTTGCTAGGTATACAAGTGACAGACATCGAACGTTTTCTTTTTCTTTGCTGCCGAGGCTTTCCATCCTCCATCAGCTATGAAAAATTGATAGATACGCGAGCGAGTGATATCAGAGGCTTTCTCCTTCTCTGCTACCTGATCTTGTAACCTGCACCAATGACAATTGCTCCTCAGTGTTTGGACCAAGTGCCAGGTCCAAAACGGCTTGGCCGGTGATTGGTGCCCTCACGGGACGCGAGCCTGGAGAGACTCCCGTTTGTGTCGCCGGTGTGCGATCCGGATGTGAGTGCTCTGCTCGGAGCGACCCCATACCCGAATGTGAGTGCTCTGCGCGGAGCGATCCAATATCCGGATGTGAGTGCTCTGCGCGGAGCGATCCAATATCCGGATGTGAGTGCTCTGCGCGGAGCGATCCAATATCTGGATGTGAGTGCTGTGCTCGGCAGCGACCCAATACCCGCATGTGAGTACTGTGCTCGGCAGCGACCCAATACCCGGATGTGAGTGCCCTGCTCAGCAGCAGCCTAATAACCGGATGTGAATGCTCTGCTCGGCAACGAGCCAATACCCGGATGTGAGTGCTGTGCTCGGCAGCGGCCCAATATCCGAATGTGGGTGCTCTGGTCGGAACGACACATGCCCGGATGTGAGTGCCCTGCTTGGCAGCGAGTCAATACCCGGATGTGAGTGCTGTGCTCGGCCGCTACCCAATACCCGAATGTAATTGCCCTGTACTCGGCAGCGACCCAAGACGGGCGACGCGCTCTGTCGCCAATGCTTCTTCTGGGCGTTCGAGACAGAGGTGCATAACACGGTGACAGCGGCCGGCCTGTTCAAGCGCGGGCAGTACGTGGCCGTGGCGGCCAGCGGCGGCAAGGATTCCACTGTACTGGCTCACGTGATGAAGGAGCTGAACGAGAGGTGAGGGCGGGGCCCGGCGGGACGGCGGCCGCGTGTACCGCCCACATGCCCCCCGCCACGCGCTGCGCCCATCTATAGCAGCACTGGTTCGCAAGCTTAGTTGTTTTGGTTGAAACGTGTACCAGGATAGATTACTAGGGTTTTTGGTATTTTCGTAATGAACACTAACTCCACGCGTTTTAGTGAATAGTACATTGGAATGTAAGTGAACAGACTTGTTACCTTACGCTTTCTTCACTGGTTGGCTCTCGTGTTCCCCAGATTTACGAGCCTTATGTACCATTTCTCGAGCGCTACCTGACTAGACCGCTCAGGTTGCCTCTGACTGACCTAGCTTCTTGTGATGACCTTACGTCTGGCTGCTGACCTGCCCTCTGTCGTAGCCCTTCGAGGTAGAGCCGAGCTCAGCAGAACATTACAGGACCTATGGAGCGGAGCCTGAGGCCCTGATGCAGATGACAGTATCGACTGCACCCAGTAATGTGTCCTGTGCTAGACACCAGACGCCAAGCTGGCTTGACCTGACCTGGTCTGACCCGGGCCGGCGCTAGGTACGACTACGGTCTTCGGCTGGTGCTGCTCAGCATCGATGAGGGCATCACCGGCTACCGCGACGACAGCCTGGAGACGGTGAAGCGGAACCGAGACCAGTACGGCCTGCCGCTCACCGTCCTTTCCTACCACGACCTGTACGGCTGGACCATGGACGACATCGTCCGTCAGGTCAGCGCCTAGCGTCGCCCGCGGTCGA